AAAGATTTCAGGTACCAAAAGCAGCATCTGAAGCAGCTGGTGGTCTCCTATTACCATGCTGGCTGCAGAAGCACTTCACATCTCATTTAACAGCGTAATGAAAGCTCCACCAGCAATACAGCCTACCAAGACTGCCAAACACAAGAATATAAACACTAGATTAGGAAGATGAACTAGCATCATGGTTTTTATTGCCTAGTTCTAAGGATTGGTAACGAGCTAGTCCTGCCACAGAAAATACTCTCTGGTGATCCAACGGCACTCAAAGATGAAGAGCAGAGCCTGAGAGGTACCAGAGGAGGAAGGTGGCACTGAGGAGGTCACCACACTGCTGCTTTCCACAGGCAGAGCTTAAAACCACGGAAGTGAGAGCACCATTAGAGTCAGAGCCAGAAGAAGCCATCAGGATGGGGACATGCAGGCTTACACTGATGACCAAGTTGTACTTTGCATCTATAACACAATTAGCGCTAAACTCAGCAGCTTTATTTCTCATGTATGCGGTAATTACGGCTTAATAGAGCTTCATAATGTTCTCTCTAATTACTGATTATATCTTCTTATATACTTTCATACGTGCATATACACATACATTCTCAAATGGTTGGCACTGATGTGCTCAGAGAATAATCTGAGAAAGAAAGGGAGACCACAGAAGAAGATATGAATACCCAGTGGGACTCAACACTCCTCCATTTATTGAAAAGTAATGGCAAGAAGCAATGCAGGGAATCTTCCTACCCATCACAGGCAACCAGACTGGGACTCCCTGATGTGAAGGAATCAGCCAGCCTCCCAGTCACACACGTTGCTGCCAAGTGCCATTCCTTGACCAGTTTCCAGATCAGGACAAAGATGGGAGCAGAAGGCAGCCAGAGAACACTCTGGTAGATAAACCCAACCCCTGCCTTGTACAACTTCATCTTCAGCAGCTTGCCACATCCTCCTTGAACGAAAAGTTGGTATATAGGGATGCTGACAACCATCCGATCAATGACTGCTGTCTGCACGGGGTCTTTAATACCCACACAAATCAATGGAAACATCTTTGGACCTCAGCCCATGTGTCAGATTACGCCTGTGGCAGAAAGGGAGGGATAAACACAAGGAGTAATAAACGAGCAAACTATTAATTATGAACAAGCACTAAACCTTTCTCATGTACTCTTTGTGAAATTAGCCCTGAATGCAGTTAGCTGGATGCCTAACCAAGCACAAGATGGTACATGCACAGCGATTTCTCGCTGCAAGAGCCACTTACTTTCATGAGGACGTGCAGAAGCCTGCTACCATTGCCTCACGTACAGGATTTGAAACTGTTGCCCAAAATGACTGCATGTGAATTTTGATTCAAAACAAAAACTAAATGAGGTCTGAAACACTACCAGGATAGCAGACACTAATGTATATGAAGTTAGTTGGTAACTTAAACCCTGTAGCTTCTCTCTATCTCTGTTGTTATCAGACATTTTTGGCCAAAATTTAGTTCATGACTTTTGGCTGATGTGGCATAAAGAGATGGACTGGATGCGTGCGTGGGAAGGAGACGGTGACAGTCAGCAAACATTAGGACAGAAACACCAAGAAGAATGATAAACTGAACCCATGGTGTTTAACTGTGATGGCCTCCTGAAGGGAATGGTGTGCTGTTTGGAGGATCTCCAGATCCACAAAGAATACCCACATACATCATGGGGAGGCTGCAGCAACACTGCTCCACCAGGAAACTGACAGACTGATCTCCCAGATTCACCTCTGAAACTGTGATCCCACAATAAAGCTCTTTTATCACAAAGAATAAGCAGCAGTTTGCAACGACTCAGAGAGATTTCAGCTCAAATATCTCTGCAAATTATTACGCTTTGTAGGAGAAAAAACTGTCAAATGCAATGTTTATTCTAAGCCTCAGCCTCATTAACCCAGTACCTTACATGCCCTCTTTGTAATGCAAATTTGCTAAAATACTACACTTTCCATAAAACATTCATATAGACAGTCTCATGTTGCTCAAACACCAATTGTAAGTGAAGCAAAAATAGGCAGAATTTCTCTTAATACCTAAGCTCTGCACCTAACTCTTATCTGCCAGTGCAGCCTGTGAGGAACCTTATGCTGTTGCTGCAGCCATTGTAGCACAAAGGTGGAAGATTTCCCAAAGCAGCTGATGTAGGCAATTATAAACTGAATAACCACGTGTAAGAGCCAAATAAAAGGACTTTGCAGAAGGCACCTACAGCAGAGCTTTTTTTTGAGGAACAGAGATTATTACAGAGAATCAAAAAGATACCCTGCATTTAGGAGGCTACACATTGCACACAGTGCACCTGCTCATGGCCACCTGCCCAGCTACACCATGTATCACCATGAAGGTTTGCTCTGAATTTTCCCCAGGTAGAAACACACCTGTCATTCCCAAACACTGCAATATGCCCATCCATCAAGTGCAGCCCCAAGGAGATACAGTGCCATCCTGACCAAGATCTCCAGTCCAACCTCATCCCACTGCTCTGCATAGTGGAAAATGTTTTTGGGATGGAGAGGGCTAAGGGAAGAGAGCAAAGCTCCTGTTTTCTCATTTACACAGCTGTGGAGATGGCAAAAATGTCACCTTAGGTGTGTTATATTGACTCTCTACTTCCTCCAACGCACTGACACACTGGAACGTGAAATACCATAGCAAACTCATATTCAGTCAAAATTCACAATATAAATTGTACTAAACTAAATTCAGATACACAGGATGAACGTGGAAATGTTACCATCTTTGCTTCCTCTCTCCACAGGTACAAGCCACTTTTGCTTCCTGAGATGATCTCTAAACGTGTTATTTCAAATTAAACTTGGAGCAACCGCTTTCATCCTATTTTTAGTTTTGAAAGCTGTCACTTCTTTTTTAGACTTCAAGGAGGGCTTGGAAGGCGTCTGATTCTTACAACTACAGTAGTTGGCCTGACAGAAGATCCTACCTTTGTATACAAACCTTTCCCAGACTCCCCAGCATGGCGAGGCAGAACTCAAGGCATCAGTGCTTGAAGCGTTGGAGATACCTACAGTGTTTCCAATGGGGCTCAGTGCTATGATGCACAAGTGACCAATGGGGGGCATCTCTACAAGAAGTTTTCTTTACACAGAAACATGACTTCCCAGACCAACTGCCAGACCAGGCTCTTGGTCATCCAAAATACACCAAGGCTCCATTACTGTTCCTGTACCCAAAGGTCCTCAGAAATGATGCACTCACACCACCCAGTCATAACACTGGAAGGGTGCAGAGACTGGGAAGTGCATCAGAACGTGCCAGTACAAAGTCAACCAGATGTAACATGGAGATAAATAGCATCTGTCACTTAAAAAAATAATATATATATATATATATATGGAACAGGATCTACAATGAAAATGCAACCAAAACAGCAATTCAGCATACCAGCTTCACAGCATATTACAAAAATAAGTACCTGTTTACCATGCCCACAATCATTTCCCAATTTCATGAAGAGAATGAGTATACTGAAACCTTTTTATTTTTGAGCATTTCCTTCATTTGGCACATTCCCTACTTTTGGGGAAAAAAAAGAGAAAAGCAGAACACGGAGCAGCCATACCAGGAGTGGCCATGCTTCTCCTGCCCACATGCCTGAAGCCCAACTCAGAGGAACAGACTGGCTGTACCAGCTTAGCTTCATCTTTAGAATCTCTCAGTTCTCAGCCCAGCCATTAAAATGGTCAATAGCAGTGCCAGCTGAGAAATGCCCATCACTGGAACTCATTTTTACAGGTCATTGGCCAGCTAGACAACAACAGCTTCTAGCCATTACTGACCTCTCTTCAACACGAACTGCTGATTTCCCAGAGAAAGACAAGCCATGAGCCATCCATTTTCTTAATCGTAATTAAAGCGAACACAAAACCACTCAACTGTTTCTATATGCCTTAGTTCATACAAAATACAAACATGCAATCATCCTGCTATGTTTCTGAGAACAGTGACATAGTAAGAATCTGAATGCATTCAGTTCATCTATGGAGGCAGGGAATACTCTATTAGAAGTAGGTGCAGTTGAACAGAAATTAGCATCAGAACAATTCGGGCAGCAAAACGTTCTGCTGGATCTGCCCCCAAGCTGACAGAACAGATTCAGGCAGGTGCGTCTTACGACGGAAAAATTAACTGTGATAATGAATACAATGCCCTTTAGATACATCCACATCTCAGTGACATTAAGATGCAGAAGAAATTTTAAAAACGCCATCTTCAAAATGCTCAAGCACACAAAAGAGAAAGCAAACAAACCTGTCTGAACGACTGGCTGTTTGCAACACTGCCTGCTTTATGGCTCCGCCAAAATTGGATTCTTTCATCAGTCCTGGTCTTCCTTTTCTGCACAGAGCTATTTGGTGTTTTTTTAAAGATAAAACAGTAAACACACCAAAACAGACAACAAAGCCGGGATCAATGAAAATACATACCTCTAGTTATTTCACTTTCAAACATTTTAAATATTTGTCGTTTGTAAATGGCTGAATACTCTTAGTCAGACTGCATCACATCTGGCTCCAGTAAAACATGGTTGAAAATTAAGATGAAAGCCTGCCTTCATCTAAAATTCTCGTACTTGGTTATTAATTTCCAGTCATCCTTAGAAATCTGCTTCCTCCAATTTTCTAATTGAGACTGCATGGCTTGAAATATGCCCATCAGCTACCGTATGGTTGCAAATCTACTAGACTAAGAAATACACATTCTCAGGCTTCAGAAAATCATCAGCACTCCAGATTTCCCTGAAGCTTCCTGAGCAGCAGATTTCAATGACCAATATCAATGACTCAGACCACTGGTCTCGACCAGTCTCACAGTTCCTGTCAGTCAGTGTTACAGCGACTCATGGAATTGCTGTCAAAATAACCATTAGGATGCCTAGAAAATACACAACCTACATCTGGCTGCATGCATCCAACATATCCTCTCACAGGTTTTCTTGAACTGATGTTTTACTCACCAGGCTCTCGGTCCTTAGAGGAAATACACTCTTTTATGGACTCTGTTATGCCAAGACTAGCTGCAGTGGGGAGTGGACCAAGTAAGGATTCCAGTGCGGGTGGTCTTACAGGAGCTTCACTTCCATTTTTGCATTCTCCATCTTCACCTGGTTTTAACCTATCTTTCTCAAGAAGTTCATTACAAAAGTCTTTGTTTAAGTGATTAGCAGCTGCTTCCAGTTCTTCATCTTCTGCCTCTTCTTCTCCAAATATGCTTAACGTATTGTCTTCTATAGAATCTGTAAGGAGAAAACAAACAAACAAACAACAAAAACCCCAAATCACTGCATACCATCTGTTACAGAAACTAAGTAAATAGAGTAAATAGAGTAAATACTCCCTCAAAGCAAAAAAAAAAAAAAAAAATCTGCAGAGAAAATCTGTAGAAAACACACACACTATTTCAGTACAATGTATGAATGTAGAGAGTTTCCAGATACTCTTCAAATTCATGACCCTGGCTATTAAAGTGTATTTTTGTGAATAGAGTCACTGTTTAAAACAGAAGCATTGTGTTATCAAATTATGGCAGGTAAAAGGCTTTTTCAAAAGAAGCCAACTACTTGTTGGCCAATGAATGGCCAATTAAACCTGCACAGAGAGCCACCATACCAATTTGTCAACCAGGGCATTCAGGACAGAAGGGTCTGTGTACTGCTATTCTATGCACTCAACACTAGTGATGAAAAGAGACATTCTCAGGTATCAGTGCCAAACTCATAAGCTACCAAGAATGAAAGTGATTGCTGTACTGCAATTGTAAGGAACAAGTTTCATTTTTGTTTTTATTTTGCTTTTTTTTTTTTTTAATTTTGTATTAAGCATTTTGTTCATTTGAAGGCTGACAACTGAACCAACTAACTGGCAAGATGAGCTGAAAAGCAGAGAGAACCCTCATACAATAAACAGAGATTATTTACTACCAAAGCATTTACATGATCACATTTATCACAATCAAGTTCACAGACTTAATACTGTCTGCAGGATATGAACCTATTATTATTTAAGTAGTCACCAGATTTTATACTTACCACTTTTAGATAAATTTGCAAATACGCCTTTTGCTTTTGGTCTACTATTTTCTAATTCAATCTCTATTTCATCTTGATAGCTTGATATTTCACCTGTGGTGATGAAATAAAAATAAAACTCAGCAATCATCAATGCAATTTTGAAGAAATGAGTGATCTGTTACACTAAACACAACTTATACCTTCAAAATCTTCCAGCTTTTTTGATAACGCCTTCTCAAGCTGAAATGAAAATAAACAAAAAAAAAACAACCATGAAATTACTTCAAAAACATCTCTGTACTATTTCTGAACTGTATACACAGACAGAATCACAGGGTATTTTAAAAGCAATAAGAAGATTTCAAATCCTAATTCAAATTATTTTATATCGCCATAGGTATCAAGCAACTGGCCAATTTAAAACATTATGTCAGAAATCTCTGTACTTCAAAAGGAACTTCTACTTCAGCAAGCTGCATATAGAAGGCTCCAGTCTATAGCAACAAGCTCTATGATTGTGCCTGTAGATATGAGCAAGTGCAAGGACAGTCCTGAAATTGCTCTGCACAGGCCAGATGTGGCACACATGCAATGTCAGTCTGCAGCACTGACCTACAGAATCTGACTGACTCTTGAGAACATTATAAACACATCAAGAGCCCTTTAAATGATAGCATATCTAGAATATTAAATACTACTGCCTTTTAAAAAAGCACATGGTTTCTGATCCAATTAGAAAGCATGCTCCTTGGCCACACTCTCTTAACTCTGGTTAACCAGAAGAGCACACGCAGCACATACAAGAGAAGTGCAGGCATTAGAACAGCTTTTCAAGACCTGCATGCTGTAAGTTCAGCTTAATTTGTCACATGAGAGGCTCCAGTTTTGCAAGGGCATAAAGATGTGATGCTTCAGTAAAAAGTCAGAGCAGAAGAAGAGAAACATGCAGCAGGAAATGAGCATTACAAAGGGAAAGTAACTGCATCATCTGGCACACAGGGCAGCACCCAAGCAGAGTGCACTGGGCTCTCATCTACAATACAACAGTTGTGCTTAGCACCAAATACTGGTATCCTGCAAAACATGGGAGCTCCACAGGTGCTCATCTGTTCAAACACCCCAATGTCCCCATCTGACCAACAAGAGCAGTGACACCGTGCTTCCTGCTGGGGTTGATTCAGGCTGGAAAGACATTTCAGTCCCTCCTCAGGGGATACTTAAGGCTACATTTGAAGCTACATATCACTGGATGACACAGAGGTAGTAAAACCATATCCTTAAAAAAAATATATATATACATATATATATATCTTAAGTTAATGAGTGTCATATGTACTAATGCTCACCATTCTCTTAAGAACCTCAATAGATGCAACCAAATTTTAAGAGATGCTAGCCAGTTAGGATTTAGTATTAATTGATCCAAAGGGAGAAAAGAGGAGAGAAATGAACAGAGCATCAGGTTTAGAACTTACCTGCTGTATCTTCAGCTTTTTTTGGCCAGCTGTGAATGAAGGGGGATCACATTCTTCTTCCAAGTCAATCCTCATAAACTCATCTATGGTTAGCTGACTCGTTGGCGTATACTCAAACTCTGTCAACCTATCAAAGCGTACACCATATCACCTTAACATCTTTAAGGTCTTCTTTAAAAGTCACAAAACTCATCAGATTTCTGACTTGCAGAATGAACATTCTGTAAGAACCAGAAACTTTGGCTCAAGTACAGAAAAAATTAGAACTGAAGTGATACTAATTGTTTCATTTGCTGCAAAGTAAGTATCTTTTCATATCACAAATTAGCTTTTGATTTATTAGAGTACACAACACACACTTCTTTTTGATGAACAAAGACTGAACAGAAATACAACAGCCATTACAATCAATTATGTACAGCCTGACAAAACAAGAGAAATGCAGTTTGTCTCTCCTGTCTCGCTGCTTTTGGGATCAACAACGAAAACAAAACAGATTCCCAAACTAAAATATCTGCCACCAGAGTTTAAGAGTATGCTCAAAAACAAGAAGAAATCTTCCCAGGACACAAAGAAACAGTAGTAAAATAAAGGGATCATCTCCCTGTTGCATAGATAGAATAGATGAATGCATATAATTTCATAATAACATGCTTTGTATTTGTTTAATGTTTGCATTTCAGAAGCTCCTGCTTCAGTGAGAGATATGACTGGCTCCATAGGGAACTGCCATAAAAGCAGCTAAAGCTTTCAAAGAAACTGACTCTTAAATGACACTGCAACATCTTAACTTCATCCACAATTTCCAGCATTTTATACAGGTGGTCGAGAACCATCACATCCATCTTACAAATGGAGAAAACAAGACAAAAGGTTAAGTGTAAAGCCAGGTCAGGAAATGTCTGGCAGAATGCTTTTCTGACAGAAAGTGCCCTTTTAATAATATCAACATTTTCCATGGGAAAACTGCATTGATAGGTCTGCAGCTGCTCCACTGGAATATTCTCATCTTCCAAAGGAAGCAAAGTTAATGACTGCTCCCATCTGCAAAGCTGGACACAAAGCTATTGCAGCAACCCCAGCTCAGGACATTTCAGAATTTCTTTCTCCCAAAAAGTAATCATGATTTTTCTCTTTCACTTTTTATCGTAATAAAACTCCTTCCAGAGTCTCTTCTTCCAGAGAAGAAATTTTCTACAGGACACAAACTCCATTTCCAACCACCTCCAGGACCAGTGCCAATAGCACCTGACAATTCTCTCTCCCTATATTCTTATTACTATGCGTATTTGTTTATTTTTAATAAATTGAGGAGCAAAACAAAACGGCTATTATTTTAATTCAGAATTCATTTAATGCCAGATCCAGACATCATTTTAGAAGCACAGTTTCCCATTCATCACAATGCAACCACAGTCATCCAGCTGTTGACGTATGAATCAAGTACTTTAGAGGAGGTCCCACTTCAGCAAGACTTACCCTCCCAACCAGCCTCACCTACTTAAATTGTCATTCTCCTCCCACTGTTATGAGCCAACACGCTTTTTGGCATAGACATCTGGTTTGTCCACGCCATGCTTGCTCAGAGTTTGAGATGAGGACCCAAATCAAAACAGCAACACCTTGTAGGCATGCAGAGCAATGTAGAAAATGTCAGTGGCAAAATGCAGGTCAGTGACAAGATGACTTGGATTTCAGCACTGAACTCCGTGCACATCTCCTTGCAGACACCCGAGGCTCCATCTGCCTGGCTCCTTGCGACCTTGTGTGACTCACATCACGTACTCTGTCAGACATTAGCCCAAGGGTGTGCCAATGTTCAGTTGTCATCAGTGTTGTCTCAAGAACCAGCTTCAACCCTGGGTCAGAACAGCAGCACAGGTCCATCCTGAGATCTCCAGTGTACCTGGGCCAGGCAGGGCAGCCACCTCAAGTTTGCTGGCCATGCTAAAGGGGAGCATAAATCCACAGCACAACACAGTTGTGATCAACCAGTCTGGCCATGAGCTCCCATGCCCACGTCCTTCCCTTCCTCAGTCCTGATCCAAGCTAAACCAGCTGAGTGCTGACCAGCCTGGCTCTGAAATTGGCTGCTATGACCATGTAGGCACAGGACCCTGACTGGAAGCTCAAATCTACCAAGTGTCAGATCTTAGCCACAGGACCGCAACCTTCCATCCTGAAATGACAAACACCCCCTGAAGATGACCACAGCTTGAATTAATAATTAATTTAATAAGTTAAATTAATTCCTAAGCAATCTCCCTAGCAATAGTGCCATAAGTCAAGGCCAGGATGAGCGTCTGACCCACGAAACACCATCAAGCATGGCTACATGTGACCCCTATTCTACATGGGCTGAAAACACAAGCCCATGCAGCCCATTTCACGCCAGCAAATGTGTCCAGAAGTAGGAGCAAGGCTATACAATCTTACACTCAGCATCATGCTGCAGCAGAGCAAGCCATTCCCTCAGCATTTTCTCCTTTAACTTGATGTAAATAAATATCTGCAATTGCCAACCACTTTTCTGCCTCAGCATCTTACATTGGCTGATATCCTGTCTGCATATTTCTAAACATTTCTTTAATTTTATCCAGTGTTTGGACACATGCCACCAAGGCAACAAACTGATGCACACAGCAGTCTACGCTGCATGGAACAAGGCAACAGCAGTTTGGCAGCTATGAAAAACTGATGCAATCTTAATTATAAGCATGATAATTTCAGGGGCAAGGGAGTATCGTCATGAAAAAAAAACCACCAACTAGCTGCTGGCTATTTTTTAAGTTCTGCATAGAAATGATATCCAAGTTCACTTTGTAATTTTGTTAATCTAAAAAATGAATAATAAATCTCATAAGAGTAGCCATTTTAAGTCACCCAAGGGAGGAAAACAAACAGATACACAAATTAAGATATTATTACCTTGGCATGAATTCAAAAGGGCTCCAAAAACTGAAATTTGGCAGACAAGTATTTTCTATTTATAGCTGAAGCAGAGGCAATCAGTTCAGGCTAAGATTCAACTTCCAGTATAAACCTTCCTCTTACAGTTTCTCACAGGCTCTTTCAAGCAAGCTCCTTTGGGAGCAAAGTTTTTCCAGGGCTTGGTGTCACTGTTCCTATCCCCAGCCCTTCTTTTTTTTTTCCCCAAAGAAAAATTTCCACAGCTTTTGTTCCACCCCTTTACAGACAAAAACACACCTCGTGCTCTGATCAAGCACTTTTGTGCACCAAGCAGTAAACCAATTCCGTTCACACTTAATTTAGCTCCCAATAAGGGAAAATGGGTCAGTCACTTTGAAGCCGAGCAATGGTTTTTTTTCCACTGTTTTGTTTCAGGAACGCTGTCCAGTGAAGACTTATGAATCCAGTCTAGAGCTTAGGGGAAAAAAAACATGAAAAAGACTTCCATGCACAGCTGAATGCTCAGTTTTAGTGGTTACTTGAAATTCTGCGGTGGTGGGGTGCAACAAAGCATTCAAAAGAGCAAGGTCCTCTGGAGGCTAACTCACAAATGCTTCGGGACTTCAAGTTCAAAGTCCAAGAGGGACTTCTGAGCAGGGACAAATTAGAAGAAGCCGCACTGCCCTCTGCTCCCTATTCAGAGGAAAGAGGAAAAGTAGCTGAAACTGCCAGTAAATCTCAGCCAGGTCCAGAGAAGCATGGTGAGCTACACAGCATCTGATTGCACTCTTACGTACGCGCAGTCAGTGCCCAGCTCTAGAAAGCAGGCGGTGCAGCAGAGGTACCTTGTGCTGGATGGACCTCTGCATAGAATGGCAGACAGATCAGAAACTCAGAGGCATTCTTTTAAAACATATTGTAGTGAACAAAGCAGCTGATTTGACAACTCCGACATTTACAAGCTGAAGAAAAGTAAAGGGCTTACTGTTATATTTTACTTGAGTACAAAACTATTTTACTACATCCCTACTGTCTTAAGTGTGCTCATCTGTGCTGCCTACCACTCCAAACCTGTGTGCTCACTAACATAAGAAAAGGTCAGAATTTGCACTGCTGTGGCAAACGGTCACTGTTTACTAAATTACAAATGTCTACTGCTTCATTCTCCTCTACCCATTTTTTCCAAGCCATACAATGTTTATGCATGAACTATTTATGGAAGCACATAAACTCATAACAGTGATACTTAATATAGATATGAAATGCTTCCTACAGGATATAAAAGTTTTCCAGTATCCCCTAGCATGTAAACAAATAGAACTGTAATCTCCTTTATATGCAATTGTCGTACATACAAGAGATGCTCCGAAAGTAATACCTCCTATTTTATTCTACTGAACCATGATGTCTAAGGCAGATTGGTGGTGGTATGGCAGTAGAGGATGGACCTTCCCACCAATATCCCACTACGTGTTGTTGCCGTGTGACAAGGTGGCAGTAGAGGGACAGTCTGACAGAACAGCATCTCACGTGGAAGTACAAATGAAGCTGAGGGGTGGAACTGAATTCCTCCTTGAGGAAAAAATGGCACTCAGTGACATTCATCGACACTAAGTGAGCACTGACAATGACCAAGCAGTGGTTGTGAGTTCGGTGAGGCAGTGGGTGGTGCATTTCAGCAGTGAGTCATCTCTGTTGGTGCAGACTGTGACTAGCACTGCATGCAGGCTCTTGTTCATTGCTGGAGAAAATGCAGACCTAGTGGTGGTGACTGTGTGAAAAATACTGTTTTGTAACTGAAAATTTGCTCTATCAAACAGTGTTATTGTGCTCTTTGTAGCCCTTGTTGTTTCCTTGGAAATAAATAGGAGGCATTACTTTCAGAGCAACCTACATCTGTATAGCAATATACAACTTGCAACAACATAAAAAGAGATACTTTAAAGCTTATTGAGTAGGTATCTCATTACTAAAAGGTGGAGACTAAATCAGAGGTCATCTGATTGCTGTACTTTTACTATGTACAACTTATCACCTGAGCTGTGCTAAATTACCCTCCCTGTGCTCCTACCCCAACACACCTAGAATTATTTTCTCTTAAACAACTCCCACAGTGTCTTACATTAATATATTTCATCTGCTTTTGTGGTGGACTAACAGTACACACACACAGTCATTTACTGCAAATTCACTGGGAGCTGATCATTTACGGTGTTCATTTGCTAGTAATTCTTTCCTTTTTTTAAGTATTAAACAATAGGTATCTTGAAAGATTTATTCTTGTACGAATCATAAGCGCCCTTAGGAATCAGTACCTTTTGCTTGCTTCCACCAAAACAGAGATGCAAAACATCACAAATTTGTTATCATTTTTTTCAATTCCACAAATGCTTACACACGGTTGTCAACATCTGTGTGCAACAACTAACCCACTAATCATCCCACTGATGGGCTGTCCTGAATCAGTCCAAACCCACTGGCATTCTTTGTCCTTGTCTTTCCCCCAGTTCCAGTGTTCACACCACAGCAATAAAACGCTACAGCACTACTTAAAATTGTGCTCCATTAGCATGGTTCCTCCACTGCACTCTGTCAAAACATTCTGTAATCTCCTGGAAAAGAAAAATAGCATGTGGCTTCACTTCTTAGCAGAGCCGCTCAGACGAGCAAAGTCAAACACAGAGAAAACTGTTTACAAGATCTAAGCCCAAGTTAGTGCTAAGAGTTAATTATTGTATCAAAAGTAACAGCCACCAAATAAATTTGAAATGGCAGTTTTTAAAATAAGCATGAAGTACTGAAACATATTAGGACTCTAATTAATGCATTAGCTTACGAGCTGTAAAGAAGTCAGATTTATAAAAAGTAACACAGCTGGCAAAATTGGATTCATCAAAAACAAAACCTTTTGTCATCACAACAGACAAACCAGCTTGCAAAAGTATGCAATACCAACAGGCACGGGTCGAGCCCCATTTGACTCACTCTGCTAGAAAGATTGCTAGAAATCACCTATAAGTCATTTGAATATTTAACTTGGGACGTCAGACATTTCTCCATTATTTAACTTGAGACATAAAGTATTTCTCCATTTGCTCTCTCAGCCTGGCACAGGGTTTTAGTACAACTGTACATGTATCAGAACAGAACACCAACTTCCAGGTAGCCTTCCCTTCAGCTCTGGCAGTGATACAGCTTTGGTATTCTGGAAGACCCGGCCCTGCAGCCAGCTGTGCAGCATCCCCATTACCTTCTCTCCCCATCCTAGCTCTGAATTCACGTACCAAACCACTCCTCTCTTTGCTTTTGCTTGCAGAAATCTGCCCATCTTGAGACTGCTGCAGGAGTTTGGACACCAAGTTTACGTGAACTAGATATTGCTGCAGTGAGAACAAGAAAAGCTACGGCAGCACACTTATCTCTGTGCATGAGTCATTCATTTTCCCAGAAAACTTCCAAAGCCATCATTGAAAGAGCTGGAGCTGGATCCCCAGAACACAACCCAAAGGACCCTGCTTAAGAAAGCCCCTGCAGCATCTCCACCCTGAGTGGTAAACAGTGTTCTTTTATTATGAGGCTTCGTCTTCCTCTACCGCTTTGTTGTGTGAAGAAACATTTGCCTCATAAATGAGCTCTGGTGCTGTTCTGGCCTTTCATTTCAACTCCTGCTCAATCAAGCTTCACTTCTGCTGATACATTACTCCGTCTGAAGTTCATCACAAATAGGTTTTTAAACAGATAAGGACTTCGTGGAACTGAGAAGAAATTTTTTTTAATGCAAAAAGCAGCTTATTTAAAGATAAAGAGAGAGAACCAAAGAAGTAAAACACAAGTGTTAACAAAGATAAGCTGATTTTTTAAATTTCTATTGAAGTAGTGCCTAAGATCTTCAAACACGCGTAAGGGCCGCACCGTATTACATAATGTACAGTGGAAAAATATCACAAAAATTGTTCCTACTGCAAAAAGAACATAATTTAGTGTGCAGAAAAGGTATGCAGTAGGTGAACAGAAACAGACGAGGGGCAGCATATGGAAATGTTAAAGAAGCAGAAGCGAGGACAGGTGCATTAAACAGGCACAGTTGTGAGAATTAAATAAGAGCACTGAGTTTAGGAAAAGTTAATTTCTGTTATCTCCACAGAAGATTACACAAAAAAAAAAAACAATTTGACTAATTAGTTAATATTTGTACAGTACTCTGAATATATAAAGTGATCTGTAAGTTAATATCATTTCAATTAGACTGGAAGCGAGACAGATAGAATTATCAGTACGTTTATTAATATTTAATGCCTTCCCTTTGAACAACAGCAACAAGCTTTACATTTTAATTGTGTGCTTCCAAACCTAAAGCAAAAAGGCTCTGTGAAGTAACTACAAAGTTTTCTCACTGAGTCCTTACCAGAGCCACACGTGCTAGAAATAAAGTCACTCCGTTCTCCAGCCAAACATTTAGATTAAGATCTCCTGATTTGAAGATGGATGACAAGGTCTAAAGGCTACTTTCATGCTTTGTTGCTTCCTCCTTTCAAACCAGGTCCCATTTATGATCATTCATTTTTAAGACCTGAAGGTGCAGCGCACGTTGGTGAGCCTCCTCCTGAACCCCACTCCCTGGTGCCCAGCAGTAAGCTTAACAAAGCCTTCTTAAAACCTGTCTTTCCTGCCTCCTTGGCCACTGATCTGTACAGCCCTGTCTACCCCACACGTGGAAGGGAGGGATGTGAAAATCCAACCATCACACAGGGTGAACCTGGAGGCTGGAAACCTGGACTCTATCTTGGTTTCCTTCAAGGGCTTTCCAAGGAAAGCCAGCAGCAAGCACTGCACCCCAGGCAGCCCATGACTGCTCTTCACCCAACCACACTCAGCTGCTTCACAATGCACAGAGCTGCAGCAGCTCATTGCAGATGAGAATTGCTACAGTGACAATTAAAAGGAAATAAATCTACAACACACTGAGAAGCAAAGAATTTCTTAAGAACATGAAACAACTGCTTATTAATTCAGACAACTTCTCCTTGATGGCATCCTGAGAGGAATTCTTGAAAGATGAGGAAAAAAATGGGGAGCAGAAACAGTTATTCAATGGTATTTTTTATTTGCCTTCATTAAGTACTATATAACGTGCTCTTATTTGAAAAACATCAATCAAATTTATAGATTCGTGATAAATATAGTTGTAATTATAGCTGCTTGAAAATAATTCAGCTGTCACGTTTACCCTGTCAAAGTAAATAACGCTGTCATTTCAGTTGATGTGTGTGACTTGAGTAAACATTTCAAAGCATGAATTTTGAAGCAAGATCTCTCCACTTGAAACAATTGCTCAAATTAATTTTCCTTCCAACTCCGGTTTATTATGCTTATTTTCTCAGTACCAATGAACTATTCAACCACGTAACCAAGGTGCCTTGGAATCAACTATGGGTGCATAAATCATCAATTCCAAGAATGCACATTAGAACACACGACCTGCTGACCGGAGGAAAAAAAGTGGCATTTGTATTCATTCATCCTAACTGTTATAGTGCCTACAGCCGTTTAAACAGTTTAAATGTATCCCTGCAGCACCCAGGCAAGGCAGGGAAATATTATCACTCCTGCTCCACAAATGAAGATCTAGAGCAAATATATTTTTCATGATTAAGAAGTGAATAGTATTAACAAAAATTAGATCCAGCTAGATGTGTCTGGGCCAGTTTCGACGTGGTGAGAAAGTAAAACACCAGGGGAACTTTCTGAAGACAAACTTTGGTTCAGCCAACTTCAAAATATTTCGCTGGTAGAAAAATTTTGTACTGGGGGCAACAAAAAGTATGGCTTCACAGTTAGGTCAATTTTCACATACCTAAAAGAAAAGGCTACAGATTTTCAAACCTGGGAGAAGTTGGGTAACTGCTACTAATGCTGACTTCATCAATATCTGGAAGTGTTACTAGATCTGTTCAACAAAATCCAATTCAAAGGTGCAGACAAAATTCTTACTTTCTGCTGATAACACCACATTGAATCCCTCTGGTGAAGTTATCATTAAAGTTGTTGTGCTGTCTTCCATTTATTAACAGTGCAACAATATTAATATGAACGTTTTATCAAAATAGTTTGTACAACAAAAGGACAAGACTTTCCAGCGCAGTATTCTAGATCAAGGTAAGAAAATCCTGCAGGACATCCTCAGCTTTGAGAATCAATCATTTCCTCTGTTAACATTGATGACCGAATACTATTTGACTTAAACTCCTCGTCTGTTAAACAGGCACAGTGCTTCCTACCACCTCTGCTAAGCATTTGAGGCCTTACATAAGAGGCAGGGTTAGTACTTCAATATGACCAGCTAAACACATTGTACTTATTTTATTCCTGGCACTCGTGAAAAGGAAAATAACCTGGCTTTCTCTGATACGTATCCATTTTAGACAACACCACTTTTCAGTTCTGTAAACGAAAGATAAAAGTAATAAAATGGCACCGACCTTTTCCTTAGCGTAGACTCACAAACCTTGACCACCCTGATGACCTCTTTAACAGTGCGGCGGAAATCGTGCATTCTCGCTGCCACTAACAGAGCTGGAGAATAAGCAGGGACAGTCAATGTCAGAAAGAGGAAAATTTGCTGAAGAAAAGCAGAAAACAGGCAGATAAGGACAGCCTCTCTTTGCCTCTGCCTTCAGATAAAGAGCACTAAATGCTCTTTATAACATAACATAAGTTCAGCTGCATCCTTGAATACATGTGATTGACTCAACTTTACAGACCTTGTTCCTACCCAATAAAACGAAGCTGATTGCAAACTGCACCCTAACAATTTTATGCTTTAGCTCACCGTGGAAACCACAGCTATTTCAATACGGCACAAGAGCTTCAGACTGATCACACATTGTCAAAGTGATCATCTTTTTAGCAGAACTTACTAGTTGAATAAAAAGCTTTCCAGTTAAACCCCTGGAAGCAAAACACAGAACCTGCTTAAGCTGCTCTCCTCAGTGCTGTGACCATTACCACCAGCCTGCTGGTGCACAAGTGCTGGTATGCAAGACCCTCTACACAGCCAGGTAAGTGCAATTGGTTGCATTTGCATTAGTGTTTTGATTCAGAGTAGCACGACAGTAGACCGAGTAGCTGTTTTAAGGCATCAGTCTCATTCATTCATCACATGGTGGTTCAGTGGGCAAAACAGGTTTAAGCATGCAGAAGTGCCTTTCTCCAGGAAACAAAACCAGAGCTCCACTTCAGGCACATGCAGAATGGCTCCAATTCCTAGTAGGAACATCAAATGACTGCTCCTTCACACAGCTCCAGACAATGTGTGGCACAGACATGTAGGCCAAGGAACCAAAAGAAGCCATGAACTCCATGCGCTGTTTAATGTGTGGAAGGATGTAGGAACTCAGCACCTCCTGCTTCAACTTATAGAATGGTTTGAAACCATTTCCCCTTGTCCTGTCAAAACAGACCCTACTAAAGAGTCTGTCCCTTCTTTCTCACAGGCCCCCTCTGAAAGGCCACTGTCATGAGTCCCCAGAGCCTTCTCTTCTCCAGGCTGAATGGCCCCAGCTCTCTCAGCCTGTAAGAAGATTGCATAGTTTTGGGTTCCCTATGATTATGCACCATTCAAACACGCACATACAAGACCTTTCAAATACAATCAAGTGCATACACTAACTTTATGGCTATATGCACTTCTCATTAGTCTGACCTCACTAGCTGATATCAACCTGTAGGTTTTTCTAAGCATCACGCCTGCAATGAATCTTGGAAAAAGACTGAAAAAAAAATAATTTCACATATTAGGACAGAGAGGGCATTCTTGCATAAGAATCAGTGTAAAGATACATATCCAAGTGCTTGCACGAGGGGTGCAGTTTTAGCTGACAAAAAGTTACAGCTTGCAGAATAGGAGTGAGAGGAGCCCCAGAAAGGTTAAAATCCTAGATGCAAGAAGTAAAGGATTTGAGCAAGGAAGGTAGGAGCAGAACTGAAATTTGAGCTCCTAGGAAATCGGAAAGTCCACAGATATTCCCAGTTCCCAGAACTTCTTTCACACTCTGCTTCAGGTGTAGCAACACACCTCACATCTCACATACCCGGCACCCTGTATCTCACACATCTGGCACCCCACATCTCCCACATCTGACATATCTGACACCCCACATCTCCCACATCTGACACCCCACATCTCACACACCTGCCCCGCAGAGCCCAGACGGCCGGCGGCCAGTGTGCATCCAGTCTCGCTTCATTCTCTGCAGTAGCCTGAGAGCCGTCATGGACACTTCATGGTTCTTATCCCCAAATTCCAGCATATGGGCAAAACGAGGAATATATAAACACGGATCTGCAAAAGAAAGTAACGCAATTACTCCTAATCCCAAACCTTGATTTATGACACGCAGAACTGTGAGGCCGTCATGGTCGGCTTGCTTCACATCTCAGGGAACAAGCAGAGAGCAGCACAGATGAAACTTTAGGATCACCTTTTCACTACAGGCATAGCTAAAACAAAATCCTTCCTCGCTTACAGACAAGAGGCTTTTAAAGCACGTTGTCCTCAGAGCTTTCCAGGGTTCAAAGCTGTATCCAGGCACAAATTGCTGGAACCCAATTAATGTCAACAGCCTACGACGATTTACATCAGCCCAGGATGTGTCTCCTGATGTATAAACTCATTTCAAGTGTTGGTGTTATCAGGTTCAGACCCACCGAAATCTGTCAGCGCGGATTGTGCTTTGCCTAACCCAATTTATAATTTATCAAACAATCTTGTAAAAGCCGCACGTAACACATGTTTACTCTGATTTGAGGTATCAGCCACTCATTTCCTGCCTGCCTTTTATCACTTGACCGAAAATCCATGATGTAAGGTAAATTGTTAACTATTAGCCCCGACTCAATTTCCTTAGCTGATCTCCTATGTGGGCACTTACACTGATAAAGATGAAAATTCAGCTCAAAGCGCTGCAGCAGCCACACAGATTTACAACTAATCAGAGCGCTTCCACGTAGCACCGAGCTCTGACAATGATGCCCTGTTGCTATCCCTAATTACCCACACCAGCAGTACACGGCTACACAAAGGCATTTACATGAAGCATCCTGAGGATTGAGCAACGACTTCCAAACACGTTTCCCTCAAACCTTAAGATATTAAGCCAAACCTTAAGATTTTAACTTTAAAAGCAGTAACCTCCTGACCATGGCCATAAAAACCAAAGTGCCCATTGCAAGTGAGTTGCCTGGGAGAACAGCTTAAGGAAACCCGCTTCCAAGTGCTTTCATGTAAAAATGAGTATTGGCACAAACACAGCTTTAGGAAAAGCGTGAATTTTTCATGCTAGTATACAAAACCGACCAATTCCAAGATGCAAAACACTTCCAGAAGCACTACTCAAACTTAGTGGACATGCAACTTTGCTACTGACGTTGCAGCACTGTGAGCAGTGCCAGCAGGCAGCACCCGGCCCATTCCTAGTTGCCCTGCATGGGTTGGGCTGCCCTGTATGGGATCCGACTGCCTTACATGGGGTCTGTGCCTCCCAGTATGGGGTCAGGGCTGCCATAAAGGGCAGGGACCCAGCTCCAGGGTGAGGCAGAGGAGTTGGGGGGTGTTTGCACGCATTCTGCACAGAAACTGCTCTGAGTTTTCTGCCAGCACTTGTGCCCACAGGTCATTTCACAAAACGTAACACGCAGTTATAAATTCTGAAAGCTACTAAACAGCCAGAGTATGAACGTGTGGATGGTTTTGAATGAAAAGCCAATAGCAAAGGAGGCCATAAAAGGTCAAAAAGTAACGCCACCAATACATAAATTAAACCGGGGCCAAAGTTAACATGACTGTCTGCCACATGGATTAAAAAAATAATAATGAACAAACACTCGTAAAATGCTGCTGAAACCAACGGCAGTCCTTCCATGCAGCACAGCCCCTGCCTACAGAGAGACCCCGGGCTGAGGGCATGGCATGGAGCTGTGGAGTGAAGGGTGGGGGTCTGCGAGGGGCTGCAAGGCGACAGAGGAGGAAAATAAAAGGAGGAGAGATTAAAGAGGGAGAAAGGCTAAAAGGGGTGGGAAATAAAAAAGGGACAATAAGAAGAGGAAAAAATAAAAGGGAAGGACGAAAAGTGGGGTGAGATAAAAGGGGAGCAGACAAAAAGTAGGGGAAGAAAAGTAAAAGGAGAAAAAAAGAAACAGGAAAGCAGAAGGGAACAAAAAAACAAGGGAGAAAGTAGAATTGGGGGAATGGAAAGGGAGAAGTAAAAGGGGAGGAAAATACAAGGAGAAATGAAAGGGGAAGGAGAAGGGAAAAAGTGAAAAGCAAAATAAAAGGGGTGGTAAAAAAGTAAATAGAGAAAAATAAAACGGTGGAGAAAGATAAATGGGAGACAAACTAAAAAAGAAAAAAACGAGAGAGAGAAAAACGAATCAGGAGAGCAAGCCCTGCAGCAGATCGCAGCGCAGCAGTCCGCGCTTCCCCTTCTTCCCGCAGTTCAGCCCCGGCCATGCCCCCGCCGCCGGCCCGGCCTCCCCCCACCGCAGTGCACGGCGCGGCGGCGCCCCCGCCCGGGCCGCCCAGGCAGCTCCGAGGGCCGCCCGCCCCGGGCCGCTCCGCGGCGCCGTTCCGGCAGCGCTCGGCACGGCGCCCCCGAGCGGGCGCAGCGGGGAGGAGCGGGCGGCGCTGCCCGGCGCACGTCGCCGAGGAGGGGGGCGGCTCTCCCCGCCGCGCCCCGGCGCTCCCCATTGGCGCGGGGGCCGTGACGCGCGGCGCGGCGCTCCTCTTAGGGCGGGAGGAGGAGGCAGGGCCCGGCAGAGCCGCGCCGAGCACAGCCGTGAGGGGAGCGCCCGGGGCAGCGCTGCCTCCGCCGCCGAGCAGCCGGGGCGCCCCGCCGCCAGCAACGCCCCCGGGGCGGGCGGGAGCAGCGCGGAGGAGCAGCGCCGTGCGGCGGCGGAGGAGGAGGAGGCGGCGGCCGCCGCGGGGAGAGGAGGAGGAAAGTTGGTGCGCCCGGCAGCGGACTGCGGAGAGCCGCCGCCGCCCCGGCCCGGATGTGCCCCCGCCGCCGCCGCCTCCAGCACCGGGAGGGGAAGGACGGAGCGGAGCGCCGCTGGCAGCGGGGAGCCGGCGGCGGGCGGTAACACCTGGAGAATCTGCGGATTGACGCCGTGCCCTGCTGGATCCGTGGGGATTGTGGTGGTGTGCTGGTTTTTTTTTTTTGGTTTTTTTTTTTTTGGTTTTTTTTTGGGCTTTTTTTTTTTTTTTTTTTGGCTGGTTTTTCTTCTCCTCCTCCTCGGGGGCCGGAGCCGCCCGCCCGCACTGCCCGCTGCGAGGTGAGCACCGGAGCGCTCAGGACGGCGGCCTGGGAGCGCCCATCCACAACGCGGGACCTGGTTCGGGAGCCGGCGGTCCCTCTCGCCGATGCCACTGCCCCATGGGTGCCTCAATGGCAGGATCATGAAGTGTTTGACTTTTTTTCTTCTGCTTCCAGAGACCTTAAAGAAGTCCAAAAAGAGCGTCAGGTCAAACGGCAAGGCGCCAGGATGCTCTGAAGCAGTGCCCCTGGCCCTGAAGAAGAAGATGGCCGCAGAACTTTACCCTGCCAACACCAATATCGCCAACAGCAACGCCGCCGCCGCCGCCGGCAGCAAGAAGCCCGCGCTGCAGCTGCAGCAGAGCGCGCAGCCGCCCCCGCCGCCCCAGCTCCAGAACCTCAACAACAACAACTTGGAGAGCGCCAGCTGGCAGTCGTGCCACCCCACGCTGCGCGAGAGGTGAGGCCGGGCCCCCCCCCGGGTCGGGTGGGTGCGTGGGTCCGGGCCGCCCGCCGCTAACCGGCCTCTCCCTGCCCTCGTCCGCAGGAACGCGCTGATGTTCAATAACGAGCTCATGGCTGACGTCCACTTCATCGTGGGCCCGCCGGGGGCATCCAAGAAAGTTCCTGCCCATAAGGTTGGTGCGGAGCGCGGCTCGCTGCGCGCACACGGGTTCCGCGTCTCGGTTCTCCTCGTCCCAGCAGCGCTGCGCGCGTGGGGCGGTCGCAGGGAGGCGCGGTGCTGAGGTGCTCTCTCTGTTTTGCAGTACGTGCTGGCAGTGGGCAGCTCCGTCTTCTACGCTATGTTTTACGGCGATCTCGCCGAGGTCAAATCCGAAATCCATATCCCAGATGTGGAACCCGCAGCCTTTCTAATCCTATTAAAGTAAGTGGCCGCTCCGAGTCTACTAATTATGTGGATGGAATCAAAGTGGCTTATAGAATATGCAGCTCCCGCTCAGCGTCGTGCAAGCGCACATATTTAATGCTTCATGAGCTGTCAGATGCTGAACGTCTGACTAACAGCCAGCAACGATGACTAGAGATGAGTTTTCCACGGGCTGTGCCTATGCACTTTCCCTTAAGAAACTTCTTTTCTCACCTAGATACATGTACAGCGATGAGATAGACCTGGAAGCCGACACGGTGCTGGCGACGCTCTACGCTGCCAAGAAGTACATCGTGCCGGCCCTGGCGAAGGCGTGCGTCAACTTTCTGGAGACGAGCTTGGAGGCGAAGAACGCTTGTGTCCTGCTGTCCCAGAGCCAGCTCTTCGAGGAGCCAGAGCTGACGCAGCGCTGCTGGGAGGTGATCGATGCTCAGGCCGAGATGGCGCTCAAGTCGGAAGGGTTCTGCGAGATCGACCTGCAGACGCTGGAGATCATCGTGACGCGGGAGGCCCTCAACACCAAGGAGGTGGTGGTGTTTGAGGCTGTTCTCAACTGGGCGGAGGCAGAGTGCAAGAGGCAGGGGCTGCCGGTGACGCCGCGCAACAAGAGGAACGTGTTGGGGAAAGCGCTGTACTTGGTGCGGATCCCCACGATGACTTTGGAAGAGTTCGCCAACGGGGCGGCCCAGTCCGACATCCTCACGCTGGAGGAGACGCACAACATATTCCTGTGGTACACGGCTGCCAACAAACCCAAACTCGAGTTTCCGCTGACAAAAAGGAAAGGACTGGTGCCGCAGCGCTGCCATCGCTTTCAGTCGTCCGCGTACCGCAGTAACCAGTGGAGGTACCGGGGGCGGTGCGACAGTATTCAGTTTGCTGTAGACAAACGGATATTTATAGCGGGACTGGGATTGTATGGGTCGAGTTGTGGCAAAGCTGAATACAGCGTCAAAATTGAACTGAAGCGCTTAGGAGTTGTCCTTGCTCAGAATCTGACAAAGTTTACCTCCGACGGCTCCAGTAATACCTTCTCGGTGTGGTTTGAGCACCCGGTGCAGGTCGAGCAGGACACGTTTTACAATGTAAGTGCCATTCTGGACGGCAATGAGCTCAGTTACTTCGGGCAGGAGGGAATGACTGAAGTGCAGTGCGGGAAAGTGACCTTCCAGTTCCAGTGCTCCTCGGACAGCACCAACGGGACTGGGGTACAAGGAGGACAAATCCCTGAGCTCATTTTCTATGCATGATGCATTTCACCTTGATTGTATTCCAGTACTGCAACGCTGCACATTAAGGGATTCTTTGGTTTTACTACAGAACTGTACAGCAGTATGGAATGTTACGCTACTTACCTATCTGCTACATCATGCTATACCCAATAAGTGAAGGAATGCTCTTGAATTTAATCTTATTTTATTTATTCATAAGCTATTTGACTTAATTAAGACTGCAGTGAGCAGAAAAATGTTAAATTTTGCACATACAGTGCATTTATTTTGTATATAGATAACTAACTTGCAGACTGCAGCTGACTCAAACAGAATGTTCTAAACTAGAGCAGTTTATGAATCGGTGAAATATAAAACATTTCTACTTGCCCTAAATCCTGCGTGCTGCCCCTTACTGATGTTATGGCTTGTCTGTTAATTCAGCTACAGTGTAGTTAATGGGTGGTAACACTACTGGCTGGCTGTCCTCTGCAAGGTGTGAGCAATGCTGCACATAGAAAGGCTCCCCCACCTGCAAAGTCCATCCATCAGGCAGCCTTCATTGTCCTTCACCAAGAAGGACAGGAGGAAGGAGGCTCAGAGGTTGGCTGTGGGTCACCTAAGCTGAACATAAAACCTGAGCACTGATGAAACCTCGTGTCTGTTTGCATTCTGCTTTTGGCATTGTGTGTGTTAACCTCCACCCTGCCCAGCAAACAGCAGCAGTAACACCTGCACTGTCAGAATGCACCAGACTTGAGCAGCCAGTGTCAGGGCAGACAGATAAAACCTCGTGCAGTCACAAGCTGTAACACTGACAGCCACTACTTAAATATACATCACATCTCACCTTTAGGAGCAGACAGATTTACAGTACGGTCACTCAAAATTACTGAGGGAAGCCACCATAAGGAAAAGCTGTCAGGCCTTTTTTCTCCCTGTGTAGTTTTGGGGCTATCAGTCATTTTTATAGCTAGCATCCTTCAGTTTTCTCAGAGACTAAGATTGGTATATTCCTCAAGCACCTGACCACCACTACAGTTGAACCAATGGGAAGTTCTTACTGTTCTTTATAAAAATATTGTAATCATACAATGATCCAATTTACCATTTTTTAGCACATATAACAGGTACCTCTACCTTCAACTTCAAGTTCTCTGTTTTTCACCTGAGCTGCATTATTCTTTTCTTACCTTTAAACTAAACTGTAATAAAATTTTGCCTCAGAAAAAAAAAACAACAAAAAAACACAACAGGAAAAGAAATAAGGGAACTGAATTATTGGAAACAAGATGTGTGTACAGGACATCAGGCTGTGCTAACTGATTTACCAACTAATCCTGCTCAATGCAACAATGGGAGATAGCTGTGTCCTGCCTGTATACTGCTTTCTGGATACCATTATCATGATGCTCAGTATGGGAGCTGCTGCTTCTGCTGCAAACTGAAAGAGCAGGAACACAGTTATGTGACCAGCTGAGTACATCTGAAGGAGGGTGCATGTGTTCTTGAGCACAAAGGCATCTGATTCTCTCAGTACAGATTAAGGAGAGTGGGAGTGATGGTGGGTTAAGATACAGGGAAAAGAATTCTGCACAGAGGTGGGCAACAGTCACAAGACCTCTCTTTTTTATAGCAGGAATTGGCATGAATTCTCTTGGCTCAAAAGCTACAACCTAGACAAGAGCTTTTCACCCTTTTGACACATAACACTGTGTGCTTGATTTGAACACTGACTTATTAATTGAAAAGCTATTCAAATACCTGGGAAAAAGCTGCATACTTTGAAAATGCTGCACCCTGTTTTCCTTCAGGTCACTTATATTTCAAACACTGAACACTGCAACTACAGTGATGGACTGATAGTCTGTTTAGCAAATGCTTACAAGATGTTCTTGTGGAACTGAAGTTTTACAGGCCAATGCAAACTTGCAGATAAGCACGCATTTGTCATGTATCATCAATTTTCTTGATATTGCCTAAGCTACCTGCAGAAAAAGCATCAAAATTGTAGAAGAGGACAGCATCTACCACCTCTAAGGTCCTACATAAAGGAGATCAGTATTGATGGATAGATTCCAGCTTCATTTTAAGTTACCACTTTAGTAAATCAGTACTACGCATTCATAACAGATTCTTCTAAAGAAATCATACAAAAAATATACCCGAAAGTCAAAGTGTAAAGAAGTACCTATGGCTGGAGCATTTATGCAGAGTTCTCTTGCCAACAGAAGGAAAGTTTTTCCCAGCACATAGACATTCACCTGGTAAAAGACAAAAATCATTATTTAAATCTTAAACCACAAATGTTTTCAACACACCTTTTAATTGTAAAGGAAAAAAAAAACACCAACCTTCCAAAATCTTAAACAACTTGCTTTAAGAATTTCAATTAAAGTAATACAAGAAATTCAGAGGTACAGAGCAGAACCTGGTGCCCATCAAAAGCTGCACAAGTGTTGGAAATCAAAGCATGAGTTGATAGTGAAAGAAACCTAAGAAGAGCTGTTCATTATGCTCCTCAGAGGACTCGGTGGTGTTCTGTGGTACTTGGACAACTTCTCAGTTGTCACCTAACATCTTAAAGCAGTAAGTAGATTTTACAGGGTCGTTTATCTTGTGATATAACAAACCCTCAGGAAATAATCACAAGTTAGTGCCAATTTCAGCTCTGTACAATCATGTTAAGTGAGATAATTAAGCGCTGCACAGGTGCAAACCAAACTTTTCTACCAAGGAAAGGAGCAGTGCTACACGTCCTAGGTTATTTGTTGGTTCTGATGGGTTTGGACATTGACCCACATCACTCATCAGTTAAAAAAAAAAATAAAATCAACAAACCAACCTGAAAAAAAAAAAAGCAACTCTAAAGCACAGCAAATCTAAGGAGCCCAGCACAGCCCCACTTTCCACCCCACCACTCTCTGCTCTCCACCCCAACTGCTCAAACTCGGAGGATGTAAAGTGATGGGAGGAGCTGCTCTTCATACTCTGATTTGCAATTTATGGCATAGGCAATTACAGCTGTGTTTGTAAAGTCTGAGGAAGTTTTATTTCGCTATCTTAAGATGTGTTTTGTGGTCAACAAGAAAGGCAGGATATTCTTCAATTCCCAATTAGCTCCAAACATTCCCACGAAGCTCCATGCTCACCTTGCTTCGCAAGGCACTCATAAAGGTTGAAGTCAGTATTAAAAACTCTATTCTCCTGGACAAACAAAAAGGTGGAGGTTTTTATTTATTTATTTTTCCTGGTAGTGTGTTCTCTATTGCTTTCATGCAACAGAACTGCCTCTCTCCTTCCTGTGCCATGGAGATGAACGTGTTCACTAAGCAGCCAATGACACAATGTTGTCGTCCATGGAAATACATAACCTGTTACTAAGCACTGCCCTTCAGTTTAAGAAAAGAGCTTTATCAGTTTAAAAGCAGCTTTCCCTTCGAGCACATAGATGTTTCACCAAGTTAGTGACAAAGCAAACAAAATACTGGCACGCTTTCACCTAGCCTTGCTCTTCTTCATGAGAAAACTTTCTTAGCATGATTGTTTTTGGTGGGTGAATTCAAATGTGAAAAAGGGAAGATTTCAAATAAATCCTCAGAATTATCACACATCCTGAAAGTAAATGCTCAATCAAGTAAGTGTACGTGATATGGCATTAATTTAGTCCATATTTAGTGGAGATCACTGGATACATTCCATGCTTTGTGCGACTGATGGTTAGACTGGCCCATCCCATAAAGAAGTGCAGTCTGAAATACGACCATCCTTTTGCCAGATGACATAGCAATACTATTCTATGGCAAGGAAGCAAACAAAATATAACCTCTGAACAAGAAGCGTACTCAGGAAATAAGTCATCGAATTCAGCAGAGAAAAATAAGCATCTACTGAATCTGGCAATTCATACAGGAGGCTTGGGAGCACGTGACTTTCCATGAGCCACAGAGACATTACTAAAGCAAAATAGCTGCAGTGTTTCAGCTGGCTTTCAATGCTCTACGTTCACTGCAACTTTGGAATGGACTGTTTTGACCTTCTGTCCAAAAAATATTAACATAAAGAGTGGGGGTTTGGCTGTAGTTTCAGCCTTCTAAGTTGGCTGACTGAGTTACTATAAATCTTGAACCTCATCGCTTAGATCTTGCTCTGCAAGGATGATTTCACTGCACAAATCAATAAAGTTACTTCAGTGGAGCCAAGTACATGCAATGTTTCCATCAGAGCGTCACAAACTCATCTAGTTCCTTCAATTTAGTCTAGAGAAAGCCTCAGATTCAGTCAAGTATTTTTCCCTCTGGATTTTCTGCCAGGATATCCAAAATTCTTCATGCGTATCCCCATCTAACCACGTCATTATACGAAACTCCTCCCAAGGAAACTTTCCAGAAATGCAATCATCGAAGAACAAATAAATACAAAGAGACATAAGAAGACAGGGTTTTTTGTTTTTTGTTTTTAAAGCTATGTTCTAACTAACAAAACAAGTGCTGAATTAAAGCTGAAGCAAAGAAAAATGCATTATAAAACTGCCGTGACTTTTTTACTTCAAAATTCCCATCCTCGCCCTGCCTAAAGGTCTCCAGATCCATGCTCTGGGAAACAATACACTCAAACCCAACCTGCTTTTCCACCTCACCTGCGTTGGCAGTGTTTTATGACCCGACTGCAAGATGTAGGCAGCGTATTTACACAAAATAATAAATTCAAATTGAAATGGTACATCAGGGTATTTCCTTTGATCACAAGAGCACTTGGCAGTATCTGGATGCTACCAATTCAGAAAGAAGGTATGATACTCAGTGCATTATGTGCTCTGTATTGGAGCTCACACTTCTTGAATGTCAGTGTAAAGGCACAGAAAGAATCAGAAACACTCAACTGGTTCCAGTTTTCCTGGCAAATCAGTTCAAGAAATACTTCAGGCCCCATAAAACAAAACACTGATCATCCCTGGAACTTACCAAATATTCTAAGCAGGGTATTCAGTACAGCTTAAAGCTCACCCCAAAATCAGTAATGACTTGCTCAACAAGGCACATCATTTCCACTGCTAGCAGAAGACCCTCACGCTAACATTTAATAGCGCCGTCACTGATTTGAACCAGTATACACTCACACCCCTCCTGTGATAGATGGAAAAATTACAGATATGTAGTAGCACACAGAAAGAGCCTATCTTTATTCATCTTTGGTACATTTTTTGCACACCACTAAGCTTTGAAAATTAAAGGGATTAATTTAGTGGGCTACATGAATGTCTAGCTTTCGTCGTTAAGAACTTGTAATAAAAATTCATCTACTCCAATCCATCAGAAGCTTCATGTTCCAAATTTAGAACCATATGACATTTGCATTCATAAAACCTAATTTTATGAGTTCTTAGAATGTTGAATAAACAAAAATGCCCTTCTACAACAATGTCTCTGGCTTAGACTTGAACAGCAGCAGCTTTGAAGCTTACACATTAACTTTGGTCTCTTTTCCCCACTTCTTAAATTTATGAGAATCAAAATGAAAGCCAGAATTTTCCCAAACTCTCTTCAGTCCAAGTGTAGCAATTATTTCATTGACTTTCCAAAGACTTGTGATCCCTGTACTGTTCTCATATTTTGATCAGATATTAAAATTCCCTAAATTAGATGCAAGCATTAGGCCTGAGCAGCAACACTTAATACAAAAAGAAAGGAGCATCAACCTCTTCTATAGTGGGTATTCTAAAATATCTGCACATCCTCATATTTTACTACATTATTTTACATTCCGTTCACATTCAATGGAATGCACTTGTAAGCATATGGATCTGCCACCACGTCCTGTTTTTTGTCCTTCTTTTCTTGAACAGTAAGACATTTTTTCAGACAAGAAGTACACGCTCACCCAGGAACTGCAAAGCAACCCATTTCTAACCTTAAGTCTTTACAGGAGAAATCAAGATTCTACAAGATGTTGTCCTTTACCAACACTTCTGTCTTGTTACAGAACACTCTGTATCAGCTAAAAGTGGCACTTGGAGAAGGAATGGCTTCCAATTATTCACTTAGATCTTTATAGAAAAATCCTCCTACTTATTATACTCTTTGCCCTTCACAGTATTTTTCGGAGACAGAGTCTTTTCATTTCACATCTATCAGTCATCAGATGCTGATTTCAAAGGGACACTTCCATAGGGACTCTTATCCTTTCATAATTTCCTCTTGATTTCAGATCACGCCCGACATGTTCACAAATACCAATATACTTCCACTTCTACAAATAACAAACACCTCCATACCAGCACCATGGGAATTCAGCTGTCCATCAGCCTAACACATTCCAGAATTTTAAACTCTTTTCAGAAACAAGGGAATCCCCCACTCATACAGGTCCAGATGCATTAAATTCTGGACAGTAGCAATCAATAAAGTTGTAATCGCAGTCAAGCAAAAGTCCTCATTCATGTTTCTAAATTAATAAATCAATACCCTTTCACTACAAGCAATTTCTAAAAAGGCTTTTCATGACCATGGCACAGCATCATGGAAAAACATTACAAGTGGTGATGATGGTAAGTTCTTCCATCGTTCAGAAAGATGAAGACTGGGCAGTTGGAACGCGATGAGAATTCACACTGTGAAACAACCATGGCTGCTTGCCTAAATAATTAAGCAAGCATGAAAAGCAAATGAGTTTTTAAGGAGAGTGTCTGTTGCTGGGGGAAGAGGCACCTGTGGTTATTTGATTCATTATTAACATTTCTAGTATAGTAATGACTGAAGGTCCCAACCAGGTTGTTTAAATTAACTCAATCAACATAGCAATTTGCAAGGGGGCAATAAAGGCAATGCAGTCAACATGCTAATATTTTTAAAGGAACAAAGGGTATTAAAAACTGAAGCAAATAAGTACTGCCTAAGAACTAGATATATATATTCTTTCAGTATTCTCCTGAAAAGTCTTATTTTGGGGGTCCATATCAGAACCAGAACATCACATTTAACCTCAAAAGAGAAACAATACAAGAAAACACAAATGTGCCCAAAACCCAGCTTGTCAGAGTGCAGCTGAAGAAAAGACACAAATCAAAATTAAGCAGCTTCTTTTCTGCTACATTTTAAAGCTCTGCCTTCATTCTAGGGACCCCACAGAGAGAACCCACTTTTCACTAATCACATCCTAGTCCTACCATTCTTCCTCCAACACCACAGCTATACAATAAATCAGAGTTATACCATCTGTGCAACAAAGTAAGGAAGGAATTGGTGACAAGCACAGAAAAATCAGCAAGGCCCAGTGCTGCCTTAAAAATAAAATAAATAGTAAAGATAATAAATACATGTACAAGCTTCCCAAAATAATTTAGAATAATGATCCTTCTGGACAATGAAGCATTGTTACTTGACTGCACAAATTGAACAGAAAGAAATCAAAGAGGATAAGAGTTATGTTTTGAAGTGGAAGACAGACCAAAGGACCAGACAGACAAGTAGCACGTACTGGTTTTTTCTTCTTGTACACCTTCTTCCCTCACCGTGAATCGTGGCATAGCTCTGGTAGGAAGGGATCTCAGGACGTCTCCAATCCAACCTCTGCTCAGAGCAGGGTCACTGCCAGAACAGAGCAGGTGGCACAGGGTCTGGAGAACCTCCAAGGAGGGGACTTCAAAACTCCTCTGAGCAACCTGTTCCAAAGCTTGACTATCCTCACTGTGAAAAACCTTTTCTTGATATCAAGGCAGAAATGTCTCATTTTCATTTATTATGCTGGTTGCTGCTAATCTTCCTGCCGTGCGCTGCTCTATAGGGCCTGATTCTAACATCTCTTCAGGCAGCATTAGTCTTATTTAACAGCAGGACACACCATACGCCGCACTAAAATGATACTTGACAAGGCTGAAACTGGAGATCAAAGCAGTGCCAACATCTCTTCCTGAAGTCTTTTATGACTGCACTGCAAAGACCATGACACTGGAGATTACAAGAGGCTAAAAAAGAAAGTGGAGTCTCCTAGAATTGGAAAGACAGCATTCAAACATGAGCCAAATAGTTCTCCAGGTGAATGGAATGAACGCTCTGAAACAGATGAGCAAACTCAAACTGTTCAAAAGTTGGGCCAAGGCTAGACAAGCTTCTCAGCTCTCCTCAACAAGCAAGTCCTGTCACTTCGATTGGAATAACAAAAAAGCAAACAAAGGGCCTGATTATAGACCGCTCTGAAGACTGTATTTGCAAGTAAAATGCAATATCTGAAAATATAAACAAGTACTTTCCTGTCAGGGACTGGTGACTGATCATCCGTCCAACGCAATCAACATGCAGCATGCCTTTCTGCTCTGCACAGGGAGCACGTAGAGCTGCTCTGCACATTTTCAGTTCGTTTTAGCTAGTGCTTTTAAGTCTGAGTGTACCAGAGGCACGCTGAATCTGACACTTTCCATGGGAGGTTTCCAACACATAGGACGTATTTCATCTAGAGATAAAATGGAAAGCAAAATACAAAAAGCTGGCCTTTCCAATGAAAAAAAAGGGGCATTTTATTTCATTCTGACAGCAATTTTGAAGTTGCTGAAGTTGTTATGAAACGGAATAGTTCTCCAGTGGAATAAGCCAAACTCCTCCATCTCAGTCATCAGTACAGGAGAAAAACTGAAAGGGCTTTTTAATCAGACTCTCACTTTCAGCTCCCCAACTTGCTTATGTTGGGAGCTACCGGCTACCAGTTGTGAGGTCTCAGCTCTGCACAGCAAATATTGTGCCCAGCTGCAAGGTGGTAAGAGAAAGAAGCGGGTGCTTTTTTTTTCCCCACAGGTTTTCCTTTAAGCTTTTTGCTGATAGATTCGCTTTGTTTTGCTACTAGATGAAGCAGTGCACGAAAGGTAGTCGTGCTTCCTCCCATCACCACTCAACACATCAAAATCTATCTCAAGGTGTTCTGCGCTTACTCGGTAGCCTCCAGAAGGATGCTTTGTTAATCTTCTTCAAAAGAAACACTGGCAGTAGGACTAAATGATTTCTGAAGGTGCCCTCCAACCAAACTATTCCATTCTAAAAAATTCCTACGGTCACACAATTAACAATCCTGTAGATCAGTTTACCTCCTGCAGCAACAGAGCTGTACTGAGTAGAACACTTAACAGAAAAAGGTCAAACTTGGCTGTTAGCATCTGCACAACAGTTCATGAAGGTCTGGTACCCATTTTTCAGACTTATTTTTCCTGATACAAATTTGCCACCTTTCTTATTTCACCAGAAAAAAAAAAATGGTTACATGCAGTACAAATGTTGTGCAGGTAACGCCAAACATGTTAAATATTTTGGAAAGCAATATCACTTCTGCTAACAGCCTTCCTTTTTCTTTAATGATATTCACATCCCAACTTCACAATAGCAGAGCTGTCCTTGGATGAAAAATTCAATTCAAGGTAATAGTATCATCCAATAAACCAATTGCTTTCACTTTTCATACCTTCTGCAAGCAAAGACTGATCTAAAGCACAACACAGGGAAGTTTTTCTGTCTGGTTAGTAAATGTTTTGTCACTAATTTTAGAGGAAAACAAAGCATCAGAAACTAAGAATCACCTACGGAGCTTTTATTGTAGGTAATTTCATTTTAAGCATGTATATGCTGTTGACTTAAAATAGAAAATGGAGGGTGGTTGGTTTCTTTTTACTTTTTTGTGTTGTTTAATAAAACAAACTGGGATTGACAGGAGAAATCTGGAGGAAGTCTGAAAAGCTTATTTCCGGTTTCTTCAGCACAGCTTTCTGGCTGACTACAGTTAACAAGGACATTTAAGATTTCTTCAGCTCAGATTCATCTTTAAGAAACTAGAAATTGAGGCTGTCAAATCCTCACACAGTTAAATACATAAATAAAGTTCACAACAGAGAAACACTGCATCTTCTTCTCCTTTCCAGGGCTATTTCCATACCACTGATCTATTCCTGGCTCTCCCATCTCTTCAGCTACCCCCCTTTAACCTTTTGGATCATATGTACCCCATCTCGACACCTTTTCAGGCTGGAATGTACAGAAGGGACAAAATCAGATCATTCAATCTTTGTCCCTGCCAACAGGACATCCTTTTCTTTTTCCAGATTCAATGCCTCTTCTTCACATTTGACAGATATACTCCATATTACTGCAATCATCCTATTTCATAGCAACTACTATGTAAAATCACTTGTTTAATAGGAAATAAACCCCCCCAATCTACATATGCAGTATTTACTTTCAAGCAATCAAAATAATTCAATAAGAGCTTGCAAAAAAAACCCCCAAAAACAAAACAAACCTTAGTAATTTTAAGAATTAAAGATTCATTTGATTATTGTAATTCCAGTAGATTGCTTTAAGCAATAAATAGTCTTCAGAGGGATGCCATTTACCAAGACAGCTGGGAGGACAAAAATAGATGTAACTAACCTACTCACATTGTATGTAAAACAGCTCGAACGTGGAGAATGCGAGTAAGGCAGCGTATGTCAGCAGAGCTTTCTATTTCCACACAAAGAGCAAATACATTTTGTTCAAAATATGGTTCATAAAACAAGTCCCTGGCATACACTGATCCGTGTACACCATATTACCTACAAAGAGTTTTGTCTTCTTCTATTGTTATGCTAAAAATGTGTAACAACTGACCTTGTGCCACTGCAGTGACGCTGAATCCTGAAGAAAGCATCAGACTGACTGTTGATACATTACTTGCAACGTTAAAAGCAAAAGATACCTCGATATTTAATTTCACCAAGCAATTACTAAGTTACAAACCCAGTGATTTTCCAATTCAGAAATCTTACGGAGAAATTAAAGCATCACAAATAGCCCACAATAGCTGACAGCACTTTGCTTGAAAGTAACCTTTATCATGAGAATTTTCCCACAGAAAATAGATACAATACCTGAAGAAGATCACTGAGGTCCAGTAACATGTCTGTGAAGAAGTCAAGGAATATAAATGCTTACTGAATGCAACTGCTTCTAAATTTCATTAGCAAGGCAAAAAATGGAAGAACAAGCCCAAGTTAAACTGCAGCAGAACACAAATACAGGTGAGGTGCTGCAACACTTCTGCACCCCAGAAACTCCTGCCAGCACTTGCTGCTGCAGTCACTGCTCAAGCTGCTGATGTAAAGTAGTGGTCTGAAAGAAAAAGACACCTTGTGCAATGTACAACTACTCACCCTATCTTGCAGCCAAGGGAGAGAACAGTAACAACAAATAACAACATTGTAAAGAGATAAGTAAAGTGTGAAAGTATTTTAAGAATGTAAAACATCAACTCATTTCCTAGGCTAGCTTACAAGCTCAGGACTTTCTCATGAGGTTCAACACAACCCAGTGCAAGGCCTTGCACTTGGGTCCCAGCAACCCCTACTAGCAATACAAGATGGGGGACGGCAAGCTGGACAGGAGCCAGCAATGTGTCCTCACAGGCCAGAAAGCCAAACGTATCCTGGGCTGCATCAAAAGAAGCGTGGTCAGCAGGTCAGGGAGAGGGGCGATCCTGCACCCCTGCTCTGAGCTGGTGAGACCTCATCTGGAGAACTGCATCCAAATGAGGAGTTCTCAGTACAGGAGAGATGTGGACCTGTTGGAGTGCATCCAGAGGAGGGCCACACAAATGCTCCAAGGGATGGAACAGCTCCTCCAAAGGACAGGCTGAGAGAGCTGGGGCTGTTCAGAATGGAGAAGAGAAGGCTCTGAGGTGACCTGAGAGCAGCCTGTCAGTATCCAAAAGAGGGCTGCAGGAAAGGAGGGGACAGACTCCTTAGCAGAATCTGTTGTAATAGGACAAGAGGAAATCATTTCAAACAAAAGAGGGAGATCTAGACTGGATGGATATAAGGAAGAAGTTTCTTGGTGGGGTTTTTTTTTTTGGCTGTTTGTTTTTTTACAGTAAGGTTGCTGAAGCATTGGCACAGGTTACCCAGAGAGGTGCTGGGTGCCCTGCCCTTTGGAGGCATTCAAGGTCAGGCTGGATGGGCTCTGAGCACCTGATGGAGCTGTGGGTGTCCCTGTTTATTGCAGGGGGGGTTGGATCACATGACTTTTAAAGGACCTTTCCAACTCAAACGATTCTATGATTTTACTTTCAAATTCATCATCACCCAGTACTCAACTGTGGGATCAAGTCACCAACCACTACTCCTTGTGGGCACACCTGGCACTTACAATAGTTCAAAGGAGCCAAAACTACCTTAAGTTTCCATCAGATTTTACTGAAAGTAAGCCCGTTTTTAAACATGTTGTCTTCAATCCTAAAAAGGAGGCCAAACAAACATTAAGCTTAAAGGGCAAAGGTGGCCCTCTCGCTGAGACCAAAGTACTGCTCACGTGCTCCAGCTATCAGCCAGCCAGGGCTGCCTCACCTGTCATAAAGGAGTCCGGATTTACCATTAAAAGCAGCATCAAAGTAAGCCTAAGGAGGGAGGCAGGTGAAGAAAACACGTAGGCAGAAGTTTTCTATGGGGCAATGCATGGAGAAATTCAGTATTAAGAAACACTGGGACATCAGTACAGTTTGGTACATCACAGCAATGCAAGTATCAGTAATGCAAGCGTGTTATGTTTTTAGGATATGACACTGTATAAGTTTCTCCTAAATATTATCAGCAGTGGAATCATTCAGATAATGTAATCGCTCTATACATAAACATTTGTTCACTAAGGAGTTTTATTCCATCCTTAGTTTGCATTTTAAATTACATGAATTTTGTGCTCCGAATTTACTACAAAATCCAATACATTATGTTAATATTTGGTGAAAGTGAATTTTAGCATTAAAAGAAAAATCACAATAGTTGGGTATTTAATTAGGTGAAATCTCAGTCTCTGAAAAAATCCCAGACCTATTATAGAAAAAAAATATGTAAGGCATTAAAGTAATCTTTAACACAGTAAGAAAATTGCTAACACAAACAGTCTGTAAAGAAAAAATACAGCTTTGAAATTTACACAAAGTAATACTGAATTAAATGTGACTTTCTGGCCAAAATAGTGAGAAAGTGGAAAATGGAAGGAGTTTAGTAATGAAACTGCCAAGAAACCACAGCTCTTGACAGCTCCTCAAACAGATCTAAAAAAGAAATCACAACAGCAATTTTACGCTTGAGAAATATTCTAGATCTAAAAGCGTTCCTACCGCATTACTGACTTGAAGTGTCCAGTTACCATTTGCCCATCACTGAGATACCGTAAGATACTGAGATACTTCCACCACTGGGAGAACTAAAATTATCACTTGTACTTGACAGATTTGGTCACAATTTAGGGATAAGAAAAAAATTAAATAGAAGGAGGAGTTAAAAAAAAAAAAAAAATAATCAAACAAAAAGCAGCTGATGGGGGTTCTTGCAACGCCAAAGCAAGTGGTCGCAGAAGCTGCCATTGAGACTGAATCACTGCCAAAGGTTAATGCACATCGTAGGGGAGCCAGAAAGCTACTTTTCTAGCCAAGGTATTTCAGTTAAGAGTTGTGAAATCTGTACAATAATTTATTCTTCACTCTCATCAAACTGCAACTGTTGGAAGAGCCAAACTTGATACTGCAAGTGCTCAGTTTTTATGACTGTAAGAAAAATAAGCCTACTCTCTAATCTAAGTTAGGAGAAACAGAGAAGGTGCACACAACTGTAGGGACACAAGATGAAAGCTAAGAAGTTGGGAAATTCACTTGCAGGGTTCAGGCAACAATTCAGAGCCACACTATAGATGCTTTAGCATACAGTTGCTTTGCTTCATAGAGAAGTTACTTCCAGTGTCCACTAAAATGGTAAACAAAGGTCACAGTAAAAATGTGGCATTTCTGGATTTCATTTAATGTAGCCTCCAGCAAACTCTCTCAATGATTAGACGTGTAGCTACTACAGCAAAACAAAAGCAAAGGGGAAATTTGAGTCACGCAGTAGCAATGGGTTGGCCTTTACTGTGAATATTGTGAGCACAATTATCAGCAGGAAGTAGTTGTAAAAACAGGCAGTTGTTTTGAAACTCCTTTTCAGAGCTGGAACAGTTCAGGAGAACATACAACAACAGCTGAAAACTGCAGATAATACTCAATATGTGCTCAAAATTTATACAATCCTAAGATAAATGTTTTCTTTGAAGCAGAAAGAAAACAGCGATAATTTTACATAGAGAGACTGCTAGCACATAGAAAAGTTCTCCAAGAGACAGAAAGCTACTGATATTGTAGATAGATACGTGCAAAGTAACAGAATATAAACACAAGGGCTCTGGGGTTATAAATGTGCCCAACTTAAAAAGAAAGAAAAGAAGAAAGCTTCAACCAGTTTCAGCTGCTTTTTTTTTTTTTGGTGCTTATTTTTTAGCTGACTTCACCAAGGTATGCAAGCTGATCGGCCACCTCTGGCAACTTTCAAACCAAACGAGATGAGTCGAAAGGCTTAACTTCAAAAGATTTAATTCAAGGGAATCCTCTGACCAACGTGATGCAAGAGGTCAGGCGGAGCGGTCAGAGCGCTCCCCTTCTGCCTTTATAATCTGCTAATCTGTGGATAATGTGAGCACACAATGAATCACTGTAACAATGATCTTATTCTCAGTACCAAAGGAAACAAAAGTTCACGATGAAATGAATACTACCAGAAACCTAAAACCCAAAATACCAAAACAAGCATGCATTTGTCTTTTAGACAGGCCTACATTTTTTATATGCCAGCAATTCTAAAGTACTTATATGGATAAAAACCCCCCTTGGGTTTTGGGGATCGTTAATCAGGAAGTAAAAATGCCACCTGACCAAGTTTATACAGAGATGCAGGAATACGTAGGAGATTGAGTTGTCACCCCTCCTAAAAACGTCTTGGTTTTAATGTGTGACAGAACCTACAACAATCAGGAAGCCCGCAAACAATCTCATGGCTTTTTACTGTGCCCACCTGAGTGTGTCAGAGTGCAATATGTAGGGCCATATTTGGAAGAGATAGGTATACACAAGCAGCACAGAGAGGATGGAGGCACTGCTATGGGTTGGTGAAGTCCTTTTGTTTGTTTTTTAGGTTTTTCTGGGGGAGGAGAAGAGGGAGAAGAGTGTATTCATTCTATTTTTGAAGTATTCTTAAGTTACCCTTCAAGTTTGTACCTACTGCTTACAAGCTTACTACACAATCAGTGATACCGCAGAAAGATTAATGCCAAGGAATTGTGACTGCAAGCCACTCAGCAGAACTGTGATGTCTGCAAGAGCGGTGCTGTCCAATAGTGAAGCTTCACTCCTTTCAGCTGAGGCTAAAACACTTTCTGCTTCTAACAAAAACTCCTAACAGATTCCAAAGGTATGTAGGATAGTTAAACCTGAATTCCTTCTCTGTACTCAGCAACAGTGATTCAGCTGGCTGCAAACAAACAAACAAGCAAGCAAAGCTTAATAAGACAGATAAGTGACAAGCAAACAACAAGCATTCTGAATATAAAAATATTTTTTTCTCAAACTTTAAATGAAACTTAACATTTGCAATTTCAACATTATGTTTTGTACGAGCTCCATAAGAGATGAGAACTTCCCAGAAGCACCTGCGATAACAAACACGTGGAGATAAGATAGAAGAGCTGGAGGACAACAAAGAGGAGTGATACCAGGGTGAAAATTAGTGACTGCCTTTGCCTGGCCCTGAACCCAATTCTCCATCTTCCAGTCCTATATCCTTGCCCTTCTGTATTGTCATACTGCAAGTGATTGCTAATTGTGACTTATCGCAACAGAATCTCTGCTGCTTTACAAACTTCCACTGTTTTAATTAGCAATTAATTAAAAGTGACTGACAGCACTAATTGTTTTCTAAAAACATTTCTCTTCCCAACTACACTGAACTAACAGGATTAGAAAATAATAACCCAAACCAATTCTTTTGTAGAAAACTCATTTCTTATAACTCTCACAAAGATTTGCCTCGAGGCTGAAATCCTATG